AAGTCTCGACGAACCGAAGTCATAAGTCATACCATAGAGAATTGGACCTCTGAAATAGGACAGGATTTTGGCGATCGGGTTTTCCTTCTCAGATGTGAGTTCGTTCCATCCAGAGGCGCGACGTCTGATGGGAATTTCCGAGCTGGGCAGGCCTTGACGAATGTCTGTAATGAGCCACTCTGGCGGGAATATCCCCGGTTCTTTATCTACATGCTTGACTTTGACCTTGCGCTTCTTCCAAGGAGCGTACCACACTCGCTTCACTTGTTCTTCCTCCACCCCCTCTTCCTTGCCAGGCTCGCGGTAGGTCGAGACATACTTCACAAGCTTGCCATACTCGTCAAGGTTCGCCCAATCCTCTTTATAAGACACACGGGAGATACGTCTTGAAGATTGTTGAGAGATACGAGATGGGCCGCGTTCGACATCACCTTGACCTTGACCTTGACCGTGACCTAGACCTTGACCTAGACCTTGACCTAGACCTTGACCTTGACCTTGACCTTGACCTTGACCTTGACCTTGACCTTGACCTTGACCTTGACCTTGCCCTTGGTCTTGACCTTGACCTTGAGAGGGAGCTTGTTCAGCCATCTTTGCTCCTTGGCAAACCTGCCTAGTGCTTAGGGCGTCAAAAAAAGGAGTCCAGCAACCGACGTCCCTGAGTTTCGAGGAATTCCCAAGCCAGGCTCCCCGTCAGCTTAGAAAAATTAGAGAACGAAATTCAGTTCCGAAAAGATGCAGCAATGCAAGGCCCTGGAGAAAAGAGCGGTAGATGATGGGCTATGTTAGTGAGAGAACTCCCCTTCGCGCCCAGGCAAGATGTAAGGATAATGGCCAATTTTCTTGAAAGGCAGGGGCCCGGAGCAGGTCATTACCCTGGCCGGCAAACAGCATTCAACGCGGGCAGCAAATGTTGACGTAGTATAGACTGGCTTTGGGCGGAACGGAGAGCAGGCTAATCAGGACCTTTGCGAGCAGCTGTACCTCAACCCCAGTGAGAGACTACGGGTAACCTAGGGGTCTTGACTGCTGATTCGGCAATTCCTGATGGTCTTGACGTATGAGACAGCACCGTGGCATATCCCGCTGAAGTTTCCAGTCCAGACTACGCCTAGGTAGTCACCAAGCAAGTAATGTATTCCATACGTCCCGGTCATTTTTCAGGCTAGGATCCAGGATACCATGAGAGTCGACTAACTCAAAGAAAGCAGCGAAAAACAGCATTACACTGCAGTGATCTCTCAGCTTTGAGCTATGGGATACCATCGGCGTAGGCCCCCACGGGAACCACGGAAGCTTCACAGGAGACGATGGACCTAGCGGTGAAGAGACGAATCGGGATGAAGTTATGGCCGAAGCTTGTTCCTCCTGCCCTTCTCTTCAAGACGCCCATAGGCTCAGCAAGAGGTGTGTGGGGTTGGCGCCGATAGAGTTGTGGAGTAGGAGACGCTGGCCTATCGATAGTGATCAGTTGTCGAGTACCAGACAGCCCGTTGCAATGCCAGTTAGCGCTCCCGACAGATCCGGGCTGCTGTATGTAACCTAACGTATTTTAGTTTTATGGGGCCCTTTTTGGCTTTCTGAACCCAAACGATGATATCTCTGTATGATCTTGACATGGTCTAGACGTAGTCTCTCATTATCCTGCGTGGTCTCTCGTCATAGAAACCAGTGCAGATCTGGCGTTGAACTATAAGGAAGGCCGGAATCCCTTAGCTCACGAGCGTAGATAAAACCCGAACTAGTAAGAGGCACACATGGACGAGCTTTATCCATAGTGATGAAGATCCAAAGCAAATAAGGCGACAGGAAGCGAAAAACGGGCGATCAAGTAGACCATGCCCACAGACCCCCTGGTAAGCCACGGAACAACGCTGTCGGTTCTCGCCGGAGGGCTCGTGTCCACCCAAGAGGTAAGGTAGTTTTGTCTTCGACGTCATGAAGATCATCTTTGGCTTTTCATGATATCATGTCTGTCTCGACGTGGTTGTGAAATGCAGCTGGGAGAAATTTAATGTAAATTCTAATAGTATGTGGTGAACAAGATGATCAATCAATGAAGTGGAGCCATGGAGATTCTGTACTCCATAGAACATGCACGGATCGCGGCAACTACTATGGCGTATAGATAGCGCCCACTTTAAAAGAACCATATGCTTCCTTATGTACTCAGCTGTTTAGGGAACGTAAAGAAAATCATTGCCGCAAAGAAGAAAAGGAATAATTATAAGTATTCATCTTTTTGCAATTTATACCTAGACTTATCGTAAGGCAACGATCCAGCATCCTGATAACATAGATTCTCTTTCTCTGATTCTCTTTTTTATGCTTCTAATATCTACATTGTAGTAGACACATGCATGGCTTCGTTAGTCCCAAATATCTAACTAGTGATTCATTTGCCCGTCTTGCCAGTGGGAATGTTGAACAAAACAGCCGGCTTGCCCGGTGCATAGGCTCGGTCAACCCGGTAGTAGCCCTTGCGTTCAAACTGGATGATATCACCTTCCTTCAGTTCAGCGACGTTGCAATCAGCAACAGCGTCCTCTCTGAACTCGGTGTTCTTGTTCAAAACGTCCTCGAGAACGTCGTCCTCCTGTAGGGTGTCCTTATTGAGGAGGTAGTCGAAATCCACCAATTCCACGGGAATTAGCTCCTGTCCCTCAGTAGACAGCCACGTGACCTTCTTCTCCGTCTTTTTAAAGTCGCCTTCCAGGTGGAGTTCCAGCTCCAGCTCCTTGACGATGCCCGATGTAGGATCGGTATCGATCTTACGGACAATGGCATTGCCCCAGCTCATCAAGGTGATCTCTTCATCTTGCTTGAAGCTCTTGGCATCTTCCTGGTCGAAAATGACCGTGCCACCAAAAGCCACCTTCTTCATGCCAACTGCAGGGTTCTTGCCGTGCTTGGGTTTCTCTTCCATGTAAGGTGTAGCCGGGCCTCCCTTGACAATCGCCTTGACCATATCCTTCTTGAGAATGGCAGTGTGACGAGGTGCGACAGGGTCAATGTACTTCTTGTTGGTTGCCCAGATCAGGGTCCAGTCAAGGTTGGTGATGTTCTTGCTGGGTCCCTGCTTAAGAATGAATTCTCTCAGAGCAGGGATGGTCATTCCCCTCCGACGGATGCCCTATGGAATGGTTAGCCTGAGAAGTCAACAGTACATGGAGAATAGGTGAGACAATAAAAAATGACGCATGAAAAAGGGGATTCGCAGGCATGGTTAGTCCTGTTACTTACTCGGATGGTGGGGAAACGAGGACTGACATCGTTAGTAAGACAAGAATCACTTGAAGTAAGGGTAGACTTACTCATCCCATCCCCATACGATGCCTTGGTTAACGAGCTTGGTGAGCTTTCTCTTAGACAGCAAGGTGCGAATGAAGTTCATGCGAGCGAAATCCCAGACTTGGACATGGCGAAGCTTGAGGGTGTCCAAGAACCATTGGTATTGAGGGTTGCGATCGCGGTACTCAATAGTTCTGAGGGCATGGGTCACACCCTCAATTGAGTCGACGATAGGGCAGGCGAAGTCGTAGGTAGGGTAGATCTTCCACTTCGTTCCAGTGCGATGGTGAGGAGCAGGGTTGCAGCGGTAGATGACAGGATCGCGCATGGCCTTGTTGGGGTTATCAACAGACATCTTGGCTCGGATACACCAACGGAGACCCTCAGGGGTACCCTTCTTCATCTCCTCGAAACGGGCAAGGTTCTCCTCGACGGATGCATCGCGACGCTTGCTGGGCTTCCCATTCATTCTCTGCTCAGCCATGACCTCCTTCTCGGTATCGTCGGCGTAGGCGTTTCCGTCCTTGATGATTTGAAGGGCGTACTGGTATAGCTCGTCAAAGTAGTCGCTGGTGTAGCTCATCTTATCGGGCTTGATGCCCATGAGAGCAAGATCTTCGATAATCGCGTCCTGGAACTCGAGCTTCTCGTTCGAAGGATTTGTGTCGTCGAAGCGGACAATAAGGGTACCATTATACTTCTCGTGCGCGAAGTAGTCATTGAGCAGTGCAGCTTTTGCGTGACCGATGTGAAGATAACCTGAAGGCTCAGGAGGAAATCTTGTCACCACACCTTTCTCAGTATGGAGAAGAGCGATGTCGTAGCTGGCTCCCTCCTTCGCCTTGGCGGCCTTCTTCTCTCTCGCAGCCTGGTTCAGAGCCTCAAGTGTAGATGTGGCCCATGGGCAAAGATCCTCCAAGAAATAGAACCAACGAGCCACATTGACAAGTGAGCCCTTCTTGATCGCCGAGACTGCGACCCGGTTGCCTCGGATGGCACCCCAAAGGGCAATGTCGGCTGTGGAGAGAGAGTAACCGACAACGAAGGATCGCAGCAGGAGGTGGGTATCGAGACGTTGCAATTCAGGGTCAAGGGCTTTGAAATCGAGAGGAGCAAATGCTTCTAACCGAGACAGCCACTCATTCTCCTAGAAAACATGTGTTAGCATCTCCTATCAGTGCTCATCAACGGTCAGGTTCCATGCGCCTCTCACCAGCTTCTCATCCTTGCTATTAAGGAAGGGGAAATCTTTGCGGAGTTCCTGAATAGCGTTGATAAGGCCAAAGACAGGATTACCGCTAGCTCCGGTGTATTGCACGACGGCCTTATCTCCTTCACGAAGAAACGCAGTATCCTCGTAGGTGATCGATACCACTGGGCTTGGTCGCGCCTCATTGATAGAAGTTGCGACCAGTAGGACAGGAAGCACATAGGGCTGATTGGCCCTGGTGGCCAGAGTAAGCTGATACTGAGACATTGCAGCCCTCAAGATTTGTTTCGAGTGAAATCGACGTCTGAGAGCGTAACAAGTGGGCTATTGAATTTCCCCCAAAATCGAGCAATATGGAGGGGCATTTGACTCAAAAGGGACTCCGCCGGCGTCACGTTTCTCCGCCCGCATCGCCGAGAGAGAGCTTTCGGAGAAGAAAACATCTCCGTCTCCCAGGAGTTTGAAGAAGGCTGGCATCAATCAAACTCTCCAAACCATGTCCTCCTTCGGCTCGATCTTGCCGTCCGCGGCAAGGGGCATTCTCTCAACATGTCAATCGCCTCTTCGTCAAAGAACAATGGCGCCTTTGCTCTCAAGCTTTAACCAACAGGTCCGTGGAGCCAAGAGCAACCCTCAGGCCCAAGGTAAAAAGGCCAAGGCGAAGAGCAAGAAGGAAAAGAAGGGTCCCAGGGAGTTCAAGCAGAAAGATCTCAAGGATGTTGAGCAATTCGCGCTCTGCGATGCCGTAAGGTAGATATTGTCTGGGCTGAGGCGCTTCACTCGCATATCTCGCTAATCTCTGACTATTCTAATGCAGATATCTCCGCGCTTTTGAAGTCGGACGCGAACCGACTGTCTCCAAATACGAAATTCATATCCGTTTGAAAACAAAGCGAGACGGACCGGTTATCCGTAATATGCTCCGATTTCCTCACTCCGTCCAGACCGAATCGCGAATCTGTGTCGTGTGCCCTCCTGGAACAAGACACGAGAAGGAAGCCCGCGCAGCTGGAGCTGTTCTGGTAGGTGAACAGGACGTTTTCGACGCGGTCAAAGCGGGCAAGATTGAATTCGATCGCTGCATTTGTCACCCCGATAGCTTGGACGCTTTGAACAAAGCCGGGCTGGGCCGGATTCTTGGTCCCAGAGGCCTGATGCCAAGCATCAAGACCGGTACTGTGGTTGAAGATGTGGCCGCTAGAGTTGAGATGCTCCGTGGTGGTACGGTATACAGAGAGCGTGACGCCGTTATTCGACTACCGATTGGGCAATTGGCCTTCTCTCCTGAACAATTGAGAGACAATTTGCGCGCGACGATTGATCAGGTGAAGAAGGACGCGGCCAGCCTCAACGATCGCATTGTTAAAGAGATCTACGAAGTTGTAAGTTGACCTTTCAAATTGCAATTATGAAATCCGCACTAACCCGCACCAGGTTCTGAGCTCGACAAACGGCCCCGGCTTCAGTCTCAATGGAGAGTTCAAGTCCGACAATTCCCCTGACACCACTTCTTTGACCGGCTTGTAACATATATGATTTTTTTGGTCCATTTTCTTGGGTGTATATTGTACAGATCGCGTTATTATTTGGGAACAGCACGGTGCATAATGGTGTTTTCTGAGAACATATATTTCTAGAAGCTCAAGTCTGATCCTAAACGCCTCTGCTATGCAAAATGAAGCTCGCGCAATGCACAAGGGTGAAGCTTATATCTTCAGATTCTTCAATGCGGTTACCGCACTGGTATCCTCGCCCATTAGTTTGTAGAGTCGCAATACGGCCATCGTCTTCGTATCCCGTCTCGCTCCAGCATGACTGCCTTGCTCAAGTGCTGTCTTCAGGTCCACGAGCACCGTGGCCCTGATCTTCGCTAATCGGGGTCGTTGGTTAAGTAAAAATGGATGATCATCGCCAATCCGCGAAGCGAGTCGGGTGAGGTAGACGTATTTCTGTATGTGATTTTCCAGCCTTCGCAGAGACACCAGTGGCGCGGCAGATGAGCCGGTGGGCAGATCTTCTTCGTCAGTTTCCTCACTCTCACTATCCAGCAGGTCCGAGTCTCTCTCGAATACCTCGGCCGATTCGTGTTGGTGCTGGGTCGGTGCGTCGCCAATCATCAATCGTTTCTCCAGGTCCTCAACACGCTCTGCGAAGTCTAACAGAGCCCGAGCGATGTTTGCATGCCCTGTCAGACGCCTCTTTTCATTCAAGAGCTTTTCCAAGTCGCTCTGCCTCGCTTCCACCTTGTCCCGTATAGCTTGAACCTCCCTCTGAAATGACAACAGCCCAACCCGAACCTGCTCGACCTTCTCTTCGCCCCCTTGCAATGCACTACCAAGCGATAAGAAATCACCATAGTTCTCATTGACTAAATCTAGCAACTCCCGACTGAGCGCTTGGTCTAGATTCCGCAGTTCTTGTCGGAGGTCTTCGAGGCTCTGGTGCCGATTGGTCAAGGACGAGAGGTAGTCTGCGGGGTCAAAGTCGGGGGCGAGGAACGATGATCGAGTGAGAGGCTCAGGGAATGGCAAGTCGGAGGTATCATCGTCAAGATCTGAGGCCGACTCCTCGGAGTCGCCAAACTATAAGCATGAACTGTCAGTGCCTCGGAGGGGGGAGCCAATGGGGTATATACACGGAGTGCTTGCATACACGAAACCTGTTCATTTGGATCGAGAGGAACCTTCGAGACGATTGATTGTGATTGAACGTGCAAACAGGGATAAAATTTCAGGAGCAATGACTGGAAACATAGCCGGTTGGCTCGTCAAGGACTCAAGACATGATATTTGTGAGTTGGTAGTAGTAGCAACCATGACCCGTCCGCAATTCCGCCTGACTGCCCCCCTCGGGTGGTTGTCCCGTCCGCTGGTAGACGGATAAGTGATAACACAAGTAATCCGCTGTCGTTGTCGCATGCCAACGCATTGTCTTACTACATTGCTTTCGAAATCCCACTAATTGGAGCAAAGTGGCATCCGACGGGGCTATCAGTTCCTGGAAATTTTCTCACACTGGAGTCTACCGAGTCTCTCAGACGCATGCCAACATGGCGCTCTTTCTGATGCGCCGATGCAGGTTTGATCGTCTGGGCAAGAACCGCGTATAGATACGTGTCCTGCCTTTTACATGCTGTGATTTGACAGCTGCTTGACTCCCATTACTGTTGGAGGATCAGCCGCAGCTGCGAATCAGCATGAGGGCGGGGTTTTCTGGTGGCCGTATTCCCTCCGCGTCTTCCTGCATCACAGCTGCGACGAATACATTTGGACAGAGACGTCTTTGACTGATGGGATGCTTCTAACAACAAACCAGAAATCGGAACTTTCTTAATATTTTTGTGGACCCTGTTTAGTCGATAATGGATCATAGGTCAGACAGGCTGTCATCCCACCATGATAGAGTCCGACTATCGTCCTCACTCTTTAGCCAGAGATGGTCGCAGCTCACACCGTCTCACTCCTGCCCTGTGGTCGAGACTGTTGGTCCATCTCATCAGGCAAGCTCCTGCCGTTACGGCCTTGCTCTAGATAATTCCGCACGGGCATACCGCACCACTGCCTTACGTCAACTCAATGGGAATCACAGACCTCTAACCTGGATGAATCGCCAGGCCAATCATTCTGGCAATCGGTCCTCGACTTTCGGTTCTCAGCCAGTACTGGTTCGGGCCTATTCTGGAAGTACAGATGACACTGGAGGGACGTCCAATATGCCTTCACGGCGGTCATTTCCATTTTCAGTCCGATCTGGAACGCCAAAGCGTGGCCCAAGCCTTCCCTCAGAAGAGGACTTTAGTATCGATGGCATTCTGCGAGCCATCGAGCCTGAGATTCGAAGTACTTTGGACACGATTGGCGAAATATGCGGCCGTAGCAAACTCAGTTTGGCCAACGAGTATGGAAGTCATATTGCGCCATTGGGAGAAATTCGGGCTCCGCCTGGCGGTCTCTTGACCGTAGAGGAAGCCAGCTCGGACCATGAAAGACAACCTGATGATGCTGTGATAATCTTTGACGACGATAGTAACAGTGTCCTGGGTGTGCGGGATTACTCCACTGTGCCTCAATATCGTTACTTAGAACAGACCGGACCCTCTACAATCACATCATCTACAATGGTGTACCACTCATTCGTGCCGTTCTCTGTTGCGGAGGGCCTGTCTGTCCTCGCGCAATCTGACAATCCGCAATCGCTCCTTCCTGCCAATCTTGATGGAAACACCTCAGACCCCGTTGCAGATTCATTGCCAGCGACTAGGGAATTCATGTCGAAGCCGAACTCAAACGGCCGGACTTTACTCGGAAAGCAGAACGAACGCGTCACAGAGGACCAGCTTAAGAGTATCCTGACACCTGCGCTTGTGTCAGAGATCCTCCTCGACGCACAAGCCAATGGCCATTCATTGCACACGTTTGCTTCTGACTCTCGCCAAGGTCAGCTGTCCGCAGGAGAGAACTGTGATGCCACGACAAGGGATCATGGACAGTCAGACAAACTGTCTGTACTGACAGACGTGCAAGCGCTGTTCAACTGGCTCAGGAATGCTTCTCAAGACGGTCAACCTCGATCCGCTGAAAGGCTGCTGCGTGCCATGCTTGAGAGACAAAATGAACAGCATTCGTCAAGGAGCACAGGCTAGACATTGATGATTGATGGCATTAATTTCGTATGGTAGTTCCCTTCTATAATTTTCAATCTGTTGAATTGCCTAGCTTCTTTCTCTCAATCCCCCTGCGACGCTGATCTGTAGAGGTCAACAAGCGGAATCTTTCATTCCAGTGCCGTCTGCCCTAGTGCAGTGGTTGAGAGGTCCACTGACCGGAGAAGCTGATGCTTTTCTTCACTGTGACTGTGATCAATTTTTCGGGCTCTAGTAAGGTAGATCGTGGAGAAGACAATGTGAAAGTAATTGGTTGATTGTCTCCTCTAAGATAACCTTTGACATGATATGGACTTGGCTGGTAATGCGCTTGATTGGGGCAGAAAAAAGACATAATAGTGGTATATGAATGAAGACAAACGAGGGAAGTGACGAAGAGTATTATTCATTCCAAGGCGTTAGAAAATATCAACTCGCCGCGCTTTCCCCCTCAATCTGAGATATTAATGACTTCGCAAATTCCTCAAATCGAGTGTATGACCAGCAGTCCTTATACCGCTCAACAAGCGGCCTGTTGTCGACAGGCTCCTCTGGCTGTTGAGCCTGTGTAGGCCCATCTTCCTCATCCGAGTCGCTATCCACAACCATCTTGCCTTCAACCAGTTCGCCGAACTTGACATCCACTGGGACAGTGCCCAGAAAGCTGATCCCCAATTCCTCTGCCATGACCTTACCTCCGCCACTGGAGAATAGATTGCTCACTTCCCCACAACAAGGACATGTGTAACCGGACATGTTCTCAATCACACCCAGCGCCGGGATCTGCGTCTTAACGCAGAAATTGACCTCCTTGCGTACATCAGACGTCGCAACGGCCTGAGGGGTCGTCACAAGCACCGCACCCGCCAAACGGGGCCGGCCCATAGACGACACAGCCGGATCCGTCGAAGCCAGCGTCAACAACTGCTCCGCCAACGCTATATGCTCATCGCTCGTGCCGGGCGGGGTATCCACGAGCAGATAATCCGTGGGACCCCAGAAAACGTCCGATAGAAATTGGCGGATCATAGCGGTTTTCTTGGGCCCACGCCAGATCACCGCGTCTCCTCGATCGCGTAGCAGAAAGCCTAGAGACATGCACCGCAATGCGCCTCGTGGTGGCGCGCCATCGTGTGCTGCGTTCTCGGGCAGGTGTACCGATACGGGGAGCCAGCCGCGCGGGGTCTGTGTAATCTTTGCGTCTTCGAGTCCGACTAAGCGAGGGATGGATGGGCCTGTCAGATCAATGTCGAGGATACCGACGGATTTGCCCTGAAGAGAGAGTGCAAGCGCGAGTTGTAAGGTGACGGAAGATTTGCCGACGCCACCTTTGCCGGAGAGGACCTTTCATATTCGCAGACTGTCAGTAACAATCGTGGGAGAAGACTTGAAACCGAAGCGGTTCGGCTTCAGCCAAAAAAAGCCTGTATTGGCCCAGTATGGCTCATGGATTCCTCTACTACTCATCCCTCATTGACATAGGACCGTTATCGATAAGATGTGATGAGGGGTTTGGGCTGGACAGAAAAAAAATGACATGGGAAAACGCAACTCACCAGCACAATGTTCTTGACTCCGTCGAGAGGCATTTCTCACCGGCTATCTGACAATTATGAAGTTGCGAGACTTCAGTTTCCACTCGGCGACAAAGGAAAAGGTGATGGCAAAACGGCCGATTTCGCAGTTCACTTACTTTTTCTGCGTCATTCCGCCATGTGGGGAAGATTGCTTATCAATCCGGAGATTCGTTCTAAAAACTTACCTCTTACGAGAGGTATGCCGTCAATAGATAAGATATTCTCGACTACAAGTTGCAATGGATAGGAAAAGACATTAGTTTTAAAGTCCTCGTGCGCAGGATCGTTTCGTGACATGCGAGTCGTCCCTTTGACCGAAATTGCCTATCTACTCGTCCATATCTGGATTACATAAATCGTGTCATTGGCTCAAATTTTGTCAGGAGATCACAATATGGGTCGCCTGCAAGAAAAAGGGTCTCTTTTCTATGATTTGAGGTGGACAACAGAACTTTCACGAGTCATAACTTCCACAACAGCAGCTTACTGCCACTTCTGTACGACCACACCACCTCGCTTGAACTCAGGTAGATCACCAAGGACAGCTGATTTGTCTGTAAGGTCCTTGTTCGGGAACGTGGTCATCAACACCCAGGGACGACTCTGGCTGGATGGGCTGGCAGCGGAAACGAACTGATAGACATCGCCGATGGTATGCGAGGTATTGAATCGAGATGTTAGACGAGTTCCATCACCAAGCCGGATTTGTAGCGTCACAATCGGCTGCGACTCATCCACGGCAGGCTTGACTGACTCTGCGCTTGGCTGACTAGGGGTGGGAGCCTCAGAAGGGGCTTGGCTTCTGATGGCCGGAGTCGGGCTGCCGAGTCGTTGTCCTGTTCCGGAGAAAGGCTTGTATTTCGGCTTAGGCTTAACATATTTTTCCTCATGCTGCTTGATCTCGACGTCGACTTCTTGACCAGGTTGTACATTCATGATCGATAGCGGGGCACGGCCCTGTCGGATGCCGTCAAGAATTTCCGCATTTCGTGGGTCATCTGAACGGAAGAGATCACCGTCGTCGACAGAGAATCCATCCGCCCAAAAGTGCAGCGTTCTTTGTACTCGCTGGGGTCTCTGTAGTGTAGGCGCACTCGGGCTTTCTATGACCCGGCTCGGGGCGTCGTCACCTCCAAGGGTGCGTGCAGTGCCGGTAAAGTAGGATCGTCTCGTTTCGGGTTCGTCAGAAGACGGCAGCTGAGTCCTATACGTAGTTGTCAGGTATTCTGTCATAATTTGAGTATAATCATCAGGTGAGGCTCAGACTCACTTTCTGGCTTTCTCGATGATCTTTCTCTTAAGATCATCCGGGTTCTGCACAGCCAGTCCTGACTTCTCGCCACCAGCAAAAAAATCTTGATTCTCCGTGTCATCTTCATCGGACGAATCACCGCCTCCAGATGCAAAATCCCCGAGTGTTGCAAATCTCTTCTTAGAGGTGGGTTTGC